AGGAGGTAGTAATCATTGTGCTGTAAGGCTGAACTTAAAAATGTACAAATGCTTAAATACTATTTCACTTTACTATTTCTGTTGTGTGATAATACTCTTTGTACTAGAATAGGTAAAGTGGATTTCCCCTCTATGATTAATCTCATTTGCCAGCAGTATACATGGTAAGGTACCCCACTCAAGAATCCAGTCCGAGTACAGTTTTTCCTTCTTGGCACAGATAAATAAACTTTACTTTGTTTGTAGCAGTTGTGCTTTTCCTTAGGCATGCCTACATGTGCATTTACATTGGCTTAAATTTACTGGGCAGTAAGTTACTATGCAGTCAGTGGAAATAGGCTGGCATCTACACATGCAGGCATTAAAGCGCTTTAATGCTGTGTGTGGACTGACTTGGGACTAAAGTTAGATTAAAGTTAGTCTAACTTTATTAAACTAAACTAGAACTAGACTAAAGTTAGTTCCAAGTCAGTCTATTACTGTGCAATAATTAATTGGGTGTAAATTTGATACCTGCATGATGCAGGTATCACATTTATGCTCAAGTTGGTGTAAGTCACCGTATTTTCTGCACAGTACAGGTGTGCATGTGTAGATGTACACCTGTACTGTTCAGTAATTTCAGTTACTGTGTAGTAAATGTGCATGTGTAGATGCATCCCTTATGTTTTTTCTACTATGATATTGAAGGTACTGTATAGAAGTTCTTGATAGAACAGTATCAAGTACTGTATAGGAATACTGTATAGAACAGTAATACGTAGCTTTGAAGCTACCTGCTTAATTCTGGATTTCTACTTAGGAGCGTGGAGAGAGTGCCAAGGCTGTCAGGTCTCACCTCCTTGAGTCAGCTTTCCTGAGGCACCTGCCCTTTTTCTCTGTGTTTCTGGAAATGCCTGCTTAGTGAGGCACAACCTAGGTCAGGGCAATCAAAAGCAGCCATTCTTCTTTTGAGGATTACTACAGAGTGACAATTACTTTAAGCCTGCTAAAGTTTCTCTGAGCATTTGCTTTCAGTTTTTCTAAAGCTTTTTAATGTCTTCTGTGTTAGAGCCATATAAGAACCTGGTTGCTGTTGACTGATGACTTCTTCCTTTTGTAGATTTTAGAGCTATTAAATTGGGAAGGCTTGGTGGCATGCTCCAGCTAAAGTATGCTCCAGCTAAAGTGAGTATCTCTGGAGTACTGCACTATATTATGAGAACAAACTCTTTCTTTAGTGGATCAAGTCCTGTCAATCAAAACTAAGAAATATGCCCACCTATAAACTTCTATGCCATAAACCCACGTACTGTTAGTTTGGGATGCACAAGGAGGGGTAAAAGTAATTTGTTTGGGAAAAGTCCAAGATTGCTGCCTTCAGTAGAGTTAATCAATCAGGAAAAGACATAGCAATAGTCTAGTTCAGGTGTGGGCAACCTGGGGCACAAGTGCCACAAGTGGCAGCTTCTGTGTGTGGAATGGGACAAATCAGGGAGGGGACAGGCAGGAAAGTGGCAAATAGAGGAAGGAGCAGAAAGCAGATCAGCATACTGGGAAGAGGATCAGAGTGGTACTTGGGGTGTGTGTGGACCTAATTTGTGGCACACCTGCCAAAAAGGTTGCCCCTGCTCAGTACTCTAGTGCAGGCAACTCAGCAAAAGGAAGTGCTAAGGCTGGGCCCCTTCCAAGGGCACACTATGCATTAGTGTTTTAAGTAGGATAGAGTTTTGATGTCAATTAAATAAATAGAATTATGATAATTACTTGTGTAATTATTCCTGACAGTGTCTGCAAGTGGTTTGGGTATCTCCAAGAACAGAGAGAAACTGTAACCACTGCCTCAGAGTGCTAGCAAAATAATTATTAGCTGTGATGGAAAAAGAAGGGGGCAAGACAGTCCAAGTGGAGAGAGAGGAGGAGCATCAATCAGATTACACACTTATTCGGTAATGGCCAATATAGAACATGGTGGTATTGTCATAGCTAGAGTAAATTAATCTTCTACATAGATTTATATCTGGAGTGGCTGAGATCTACAGATTGGGCCTTTTTGCTTGTTTCTCTTGTTGCTGTCATCACTGCTGCATTGCTTAATGTTCACTGCTACTGGGCTAATTTCAATCCAAACTGGAAACAATAGTGAACTGCAAGTGCTGGTTTGTAGCAGGGATTGTTTATGAAGGTTCACATCTTGGCATTTATGAGCAGTGTGAAGCACACATCCCCAGTGGGGTCCCATGCTCTGAATTTCAGTGGCAAGCCCCCCCCCCCC